GCAATGAATTTCAAAATATTAAACGTGAGTAGGATACATAATATCTAGAATTTTATATACATTTCAAACTCAAACTCAAATATCTTTACTTCATAAAAAAAATTAAAATTGAAATCGTTTCTTGTATAGACTCTAAGGTCCTATGACTTTAGAGTCTATATAGTCTGTTTTGACAAATATTTAGCAAACTAAATATATACGTATCGAAAATCTCTTATACGCCTGTGACGATGTACAACCGCCCATTTCCAAGGGATTGAGTCTCATGAGAAGAAAGGGTAAACAAACTCACGGCCACTCTTTTCAAGCAACAGATAACAATGGCATAATTAAATGTACACAAAATTGTTTTGATGTGTGCCAGTATGTAAGTTTTAAGGACTAAAGATAAAAAGGCAATTGAAGAAGAAGAATTGAACAAGATATAAAAAAAAGATGGAATAAAAAAATGGAAAGGTAAATAAAAGACACAATTTGATGATATTACTAACCAGAGTGAAACTGTACTGGTATAACGATCAAGACAAGAAGAACATTTTATTTTTTAACATTGGTACATAACAATGCAGGAATAATACTGTTGATAAATCCTCGACTTTGTCCATCTGAATATCGTAAAACAACATTATCATCAACAGCCTTTACTAGTCCACTATTGGACATAGGCTTCTCCTTAGAAAGGAGGTTTTGGCCTACTATACCAAGCTGGCCAGACGGGTTGGTATAGGGTTTGCGTTTATCCCGCTTTCCGAGGTGGGCTGTTGCCAGGCTGAACCGGGACCTACTAGAGGAGGCAGCCATAATTCACTCGTGGCTGTCTCCTCAGGCTCCGACCGAGGAGGTCGACGTGGGGGCTGGCCGCTTTCGCGATGCGATTACGCATGTATGCGATGCGGCCATGCCCCGCGTTCGAGGTCGTCGGCCTCCAAGGAAGGAGGTCTACTGGTGGTCCCAGGAGCTGGCGGACCTCCGTGCGGCCTGTACACGTGCCCGGAGGTCCTACACACGCAGTCGGCGGCGTCACCGTGGAGACGGTGAGGAGGACCGGCTTCATGAGGAGTACCGACGGGCTCGGAAAACTCTGAAGCTGGCCATTAGCCGCGCCAAAGAGGAAAAGAGACAGGAGATGCTGGAGGGTCTTAATCGTGACCCCTGGGGTCGCCCTTACCGCGCGGTGCGACAAAAGCTCCGCGCGTCGGGCCCCCCCCTTACGGAGACTCTCCAGCCCAGCTTCCTGCGAGAAGTGGTTGAGGGCCTTTCCCACAACGAGCGGAACACACTCCCCCCGTCGATGGCCTCCCTGGCCGGAGACGACGGGGAGCACGGGGAGGACAATGTTCCGCCCGTCCGGGATTCGGAGGTAGGGGCGGCTGTTCTACGGATCCGTTCCAAGAACACCGCCCCTGGGCCAGACGGGGTACCGCCCGAGTGCTGGCCCTGGCCCTCAACCACATGGCAGACCGCCTCGGGGAGGTGTTCGACGCTAGCTTGGCGTCGGGACGCTTCCCTGAGTGCTGGAAGAGCGGGAAGCTGGTCCTATTGAGGAAGCCGGGACGGCCTGCCGATTCGGTCGCGGCCTATAGGCCCATCGTGCTGCTGGACGAGGCGGGCAAAATTGTTTGAAGAGGGTTCTTTCTGCCCGCATCGTCCGGCACCTCTGCGAGGTGGGCCCCGATCTGTCGGACGCCCAATTTGGTTTTCGGGCGGGGCGTTCGACAGTCGACGCCGTGTTGCCGCCTGAGGGCCGTGACCGAAGAGGCCGTGAGCTGTGGCGGCGTGCTGTTGGCGGTGTCATTGGACATCGCCAACGCATTCAATAGTCTGCCATTCAGCTGCATCAGGGAAGCACTCCACTATCATGGGGTGCCAAAGTACCTGAGGCGGCTGGTGGCAGACTATTTAGAGGAGCGTACCGTCGTGTACGAGGACCGAGAAGGTAATTTGAGGAGTCGGCCCATGTCGTGCGGTGTTCCACAGGGGTCTGTTCTTGGACCCCTCTTGTGGAACATAGGGTACGACTGGGCCCTTCGCGCCGATTTCCCCCCCCGGGCTGGGTGTAATCTGTTACGCAGACGATACCCTCGTGACAGCCCGGGGGGGCAAACTTCCAAGAGGCGGCGCGCCTGGCCACAGGGGGAGTCTCCCTGGTGGTCGGGCGCATTGAGGCGCTGGGCTTACGGGTGGCCCTAGATAAGACGGAGGCCCTATTATTTCATGGGCCCCGTCGTGGTCCACCCCCTGGCGCCTCAATAGTGGTCAACTCGGTCCTCGTACCGGTTCGGGCCCAGATGAAATATCTGGGCCTGATCCTCGACGGGAGGTGGCTCTTCGACGAGCACTTCCGACAGCTTGCTCCAAAGCTGGTCGGCGCTGCGTCTGCCCTAGGGCGACTCTTGCCCAATATGGGTGGACCCAGCGTCGCGACAAGACGGCTGTACACGGGGGTTGTCCGGTCAATGGCGCTGGTACGGTGCACCGGTGTGGGCGGCGGCTCTGACCGCCCAGAATAGGGTACGCCTCTGGCGCCCTCAGAGGGTAATGGCGGTCAGAGCCATACGCGGTTACCGCACCGTTTCTACGGAGGTGGCGTGCGCGTTGGCCGGAACTCCCCCGGGGGATTTGGAGGCGGAAGTGCTCGCCGAAGTTTATCGGCGAGTGGCTGACTTCCGGGCGGAGAGCGGATTTCGCCCTCCGCCCGAGGATGTGCGCGAGTGGCGCGAAGCCGCTCGCCGAGCCACGATGGCTCGTTGGTCGTTCCGGCTGGAGACTCCACGCGCTGGCTTCGCCGCCGTGGAGGCTCTCCAGCCGGTCATCGCCGAGTGGGCAGGGCGGCAGCACGGGACCCTTTCCTTCCGACTGACGCAGGTGCTTTCCGGGCACGGTTTGCTTCGGAAAGTACCTGCACACGGTCGCTAGGAGGGAACTGAGTCCCGCCTGCCACCACTGCGACTGCAGTGAGGACTCGGCCCAGCACACGCTGGCGGTCTGCCCCGCATGGGCGGCGCAGCGCCGGGCCCTCACTGCAGTCATCGGAGTGGATCTCTCGCTACCGGCCGTAGTACGCTCCATGGCCGGTAGCGACAGTTGTTTTACCGCGGTCGCAACCTTCTGCGAGGTAGTAATCTCGCGGAAGGAGGCGGCGGAGAGGGCCCGGGAGGACGACCTCCACTCGGACCCGATCCGCCGCCGGCGAACCGGGCGGCGGAGGCCCGCCTACCACAGCCTCATGCCGCCCTGAGTGTGGCCGCGGGTGGACGGGGTGGGTTTCCCCTCCACCCGCATTAGTTGGCCAGCCGCGAGGGGGCGGCGTCCGCGTGTGCCGGACGTCGCCTAAAGAGAGGAACATCAACAGTGAGACGGAGCCCGCACCAGGAGCGGGCTGGCGCTAGGAGGGGTCCGGATGTCTTAACAACAGCTGTTCCCGGATCCCTCCTGTTACAGGCGCAGAGTGGCACACCGTGTGGTTTTAGTCGGTCCGAGTCCGACACACCACCCCGCCGCAAACCCCGGAGGGGTGACGGTCCGAGGGGATTTCCACACGTTAAAAAAAAAAAAAAAAAAAAAGGGTTTGTGTCAAGTTTTCCTTATTTTTGCAGTGCGGGTGTCCTGCGTTGCTTTTCGCCCTTAGTCGGCTTTTAAGGCACCCACGGGATGAATTGGGGTAGTGACATTCCGTATTCTTAATCCGTCACTACACGTAAAACAACAGTTTACCGATTTTAAATCGAGCACACTTCTTTTTGAATGTGGAGCATGTTATTTAGGGAGGATATGATTCATGATCAGTGCAGTCCGTGTATAGTAGGCCAAAACCTCCTTTCTAAGCTTATGTCCAGCAGTGGACTGTTATAGGCTATTGATGATGATGATGAAGTTTTTGTAAATGTTATAAATGGGTTCTAATGGTCATTTAGTGTTCCCAATATATTTTTGGAAATAATTTTAATATAAAAGTACTAGGTCTTTAGATACTTTACATACTTATACACATCCTACACGCTTTTGACCGCAGCTCCGCCCGCGTGTATCTCGGTTATCTCGGTAAAAAGTAGCCTTTGTTCCTCGCTGATAATGTAGCTTTCCATTGGTGAAAGAGTTTTATAAATCGATTTAGTGTGATTCACGTGAAAGCGTAACAAACAATCCAACCAACATACAAATGAACAATGAAAAATATAAATATATATATGCAATAGATAGATATAAATTTACGTTTGCCTACCCCCCTGTCCCCAAGGAGGGTTGCTATCAGCAAGTGGTAAAATTATTTTTAGCTAAATACAATAACAATAATGGCAAAAATTCTGTTCCATTTCAATCAAGATGAAACATCTTAAATGCTTAGCGTTACTGAGGCTTAGAAAGGGAAATTTTCCTTTATTAACCTTAATAACGCTAAGTGGTTTCCTGATCAAAGTTTAAGTTTTTTTTCAATTTGTCATGAAAGATAAAATAGAAAAGAAATAATTGACATTGCTTTAAATTAAAGTACTACTTACGCGCTGTCCGAGTTTTATTTTATAAATTACTAGCTGAGACCCGCGGTGTTACCCGCGTTTGATGTTATAACCACGGGCAACGAAGCGGGGCGAAGCTAGTCTAAAAAAGTAAGCCTAAGTTACTCCTTATGTCATCAGCTATCTGCATGTGAAAGTCCCGTCGAAATCGGTCCAGCCGTTCCAGAGATTACCCGGAACAAACAGACAGACAGAAAGACACAAAAATTATAAAAAATGTTATTTTGGCATATGTTCCTTGTAAACCTACATATGCATTTAGTAAAAAGCGGTTATTTTAATATTACAAACAGACACTCCAATTTTATTTATTTGTATAATTTATTATTTTTTTACACTTATAAAATTTTGTATTGAGATTTTTCACTCATTTTCAATTCATGTAAACGTTTCTCCGTTTACTCCAAGATTAATCAAAGAAAAAAAAAATGATAATTAATTGCTAAAAATGTTTAATTACTAATATACTTTTCAATTTTACAGATTCTGCCGAAGTGGGAAGCAGTAAGGACAGGCACGATATCTTTCAAATTTCGCACTAACGAACCAAATGGACTGGTCCTCTTCAATATGGGCGCTAAACCGCCAAGGGTAGGTTGCACGGTAAGGGGTGGAGCTTTTGGGGTCAGGCCAATCACTTAAGAGATTAATATCATAAACGTATGACAGACATTTGAGAGATTCATGAATAACTTCATCGCAATCATGGTGACCAAATTCGCTTTATGGGTTTTCGCTTTCAATTATTAAGTTTTGTTTTTTTTTTTCAATTTTATTTGTCTTTCAAACTTGAAAATTTTGGGTTAGTGCCATTATTCCCCAGTTGTTCTATTTTCCCCGATTAATAATATCACTTTTAATAAAAATGAACATGTTGCGTTTTTCCCTAAACATTGATCTGGGAATAACTCAGTTTATAAAATAGGAAGGCACAAATGGCGGGACAAATATTTCAAAATATGATTCTTAATTAAAATAATAAAATAACACCGCTTAATGATTGAATCACAGTTTTATGATAATTTAACACTAATATATGTCTAGATATAGATTAGATATATTTATGTACTAGCTGACCCTGCAAACGTTGTTTTACTATTTACATTAATATATTTTTTTTTAATTTCTTAAAATCCGTTCTTAGCTGACCTCTACTCGGTGAAAAGAATATTCTTACCAAATTTCAAGTCTTTAGCTCTAATGGTTCCAGAGATATCGTGATGAGTGACTATATTCGTGGAAATCTCTTATATATATATAGATTAAATTATCAATATATAGTATCTTCCCATAACTACTGATTTATAGTTTCAATTCTAAATCTAGAATAAAAATACACATGGTTTTCTTACTAAATCGCAGACAAACTAAACAACTACTACCTACTAATAATTTCTCTCCATATCAGGTTAAAAATAATATATTATGTCAACAAACGGGTATAATAAAATTAAAAGTAAAATTAACCTTTTTGATTGATTATTAAAATCACAAATATTTCTATATTATTAATTAACAATCACTAAATGTGTCATAGTTTAAATTAACGCAGACATATTTTTAACAAAACATTTTTCGTCACTGATCATTTAACTTCTTTGAAACAAAATTGTTTACTATTAGGATATTGCATAAAATTACAAGCATTCTAACATATATAAACCACAAGAACAAGCGTATCTACCTTTCTTTTTCTGCGCGGAAGTCCCCTGGGATACCATCCATCGGTGATTCTGTTTGACTCGATCCGACTAAAAACCACAAGCCGTGTCGGTCACTAGTAGCCGGAGAACCAGGTGTAGGAAGGAAATCCCTGGTACCCCGACGGACCCCAGGCCATCTACACTTGTAGATGACCTCCTCGTTTGTGGGATCCACTGTGTTCCTATTGTACTTCCTAAAAGGCGCAGCGCGTTACGCCACCAACCCACCGTGCTTCTGCTAGGGTGACAGATGGCCTCACTTGTCCTCACCTAGGTCTGCGCTTATGGAGGACCGAGGTCGTTCCGCGAGCTCCTGAGTTGTCTGCGGTAATTGGCCTTTCCCGGGCCTGGTGGATCGAGAGAGTTCTAAACTTCTCCCGGTCCCGCTCCGCTGCCTCCTTCGCAAGTATTACTTGTGCACTAAAGGAGACGGCGGAGCCATATCCGCAATCATGGTGCTAAGCGAGAGAATTCCCACTCCGATGGCCGCCACGAAGTCACGCCTCTGCTCCATCCATGCTGCGCATTCTTCCAGTGTGTGGAGTACTATTTCCACGGTCCAGCTATTGGTGACAGTGGTGACACCTAGGCCAACGCCTAGGTGTCACCACTGTCACCAATAGCTGGACACCTAGGCGTTGGCTTCTTGGGGATCAGACACAGGTGAACCCCGAAGCATCTTTTCCCGGTGATCACTTGCATCAGCCGGTATGAGAGGGTCCCGTGATGCCTCTCTAGGGGATCCTCCATAACCTCCTTACCGCCGCAATAACGGCGTGTCCAAAGCGTATCCACCTATTAGGTTTGTACATATTATTATTATTAAATCTTCAGCACGACTGGACTTGATAACAAAACGGAAAAAAAGCAACGAAAATCGCAACTGAGGAATGATGCCATTAACCTAAAATTTCACTTGATTTATAAAAAATATTTAAAGTGTATTTATTGTTTCTTATATTTCTTATGGTATTCAAAGCAACTTATTTGTTTTTATGACTTTATTATTTGTGTTGATTTAGTATTTAAATATGCACTAAAATATCAAAAAGATTATTAAATAATAAATATATGTCATTTGAGAGCTTAGCAGATAATAACTTAATTCAAATATCTGACCTTACTTGCGAAAACCCACTAACCTCAATGGAGAAGCAAAACTCAAATTTAATAAAACAGCCAATACTGACGAAGAAAAATTTACAAAGAAAATTTGACCTCTTTATACAGTACGAACTGGCTTGTTTCGAAACTTTAATAAATCTCTTGTATTACATATTTTATTAGTGAACGTTGTCCATTGAGGTGCTGCATGGTAGGATCATTTTGAGAAGAAATTGAAACAGGATCACATATTTAGGGGAATTTGTGTATGGTACCTTATAAAGTTTCACCCACTTGAAGATGTGATTTTTTATGTTTATCTGTCGTTAAACCTGGTACGCACTTAGAATCCGATGCACAAACTACGTCCTTAGCACAACACAAGCTTATTATTAAAAGAAATAAAATATTTTCTTTTAAATTTTATTTTTTTATTTTCTAAGGCTAGCCAAATTTATGGGACCGACGGAGTACAGACTTCCACAGAAAGGGCTTTATTAATACATACACAAATTCGTGTCATTATGTTTCTTAGCATATCACTTTTGTCTCTGAATAGATTTTCTAGTTCACGGAAAATGATTTTATTTTATATATTTTGTTTTTCATTTTATAGTAAGCTTTAATTATATTATATTTTATATAAGCAATTGTAAAAAATGCATGTTTGGTCCAAAATATTAGTAGGTACTACCGACTGATATATGTATTTATATAACCGGATATATACGGTGTAAGGGACATCGTAACGAATACTGTATTAAGTCCATCATTCTTAGTCTGAAATCATTGGAATTTTATGCTCGAAAATCAAACTATTTATGCATCAGCTGTCAAAGGTAAAGATCATTCTCCGTAGGTATCGCACAAAAGTATTTACTACATTTGTATTCCGTGCAAATAGTCTACGCACACTAACACAAGATGGTGGCCGGAGGGGGGCCCCGCGCGCTTCGGCTGTTTGATTACATTACAATTTATGATCGAATATTTTTTAATTTGTTTTCGGTGAAATGTTTTGTTCGTTCTATGTGATATCATTTTTAACCAAAAATTCTGGAAAATTATATATAAAAATCCAATGATTTTCGACTTAAAATCATGGTCTGAATACACTATTTCAGTATTCGTTACGATGTCCCTTACACCCTGTATATTATATAACTTAATATTATATTACATGTGGTTTTAAAATTATGCTTTATACATTTCTGCTGAACATCAAGAATATACATACAATGTACGATGCTTTTATTGTAGCCAAGTCTAGCATTCACCAATAAACATATTATATTGAAATATATTATATTATATATATTAACTTTATCCACAATTTAGAGTAATATATAGTTAGTTCTATGTATATAATAAAATTCATGTAGTACATAGTGATTTAGACGTAATTTTAGTGCTTTTTTTACTTATAATGTTAAATTATATTACATGTTTTTGATAAAAATATTCATAAGTATTATATTTATTGAAGTTATATTTTGAACTTCTGAAAATGAAAAAGAAAATCTATAATTTCTGTACTTCTGGTTTCCAAACAGAACTTATAAGTTTTTTGTATACAGTGATCCCTATTACGTTTTTTACAAACAAATGTCTCATCAAATCATTATTATATTCCAGGCTGATCTGTTCGCGGTTGAGATCCTGAACGGTTACATATACGTGCACATAGACCTCGGATCCGGCGGCGTTAGGGTCAGAGCATCCAGGAGAAGAGTAGATGATTCACATTGGCACGACTTCCTTTTAAAAAGAAGTGGTAGGGATGGAAGAGTAACGGTGGATGGTGCTAACGCTGAGTTCAAAACACCTGGTAAGAGATAACTTCTCTGTAAAATAGTTGGTTTTGACAAATACATATATCGAGAAGAAAATTACATAGAATGGTTTACTCTTAAGAGAATTGCGTTATTATAAAATTTAACGAATAATTACACGAATATTATTAATAATAAAGTTTGTTTTTGTCGAAATGTATATACTAAAGTCGGATCTGTTAAAAGGCTCAAGGCTCAGTTTTTACGGTGGTTTAACATCACGTGTTTATGTATAGTGAGAATATTGTGTTTTGTGCTAAATCTGAATCAAGTTCTTACGTATCTACATATAGATCATCAATCATCATCAACAGCCTATACTAGTCCACTGCTGGACATAGGCCTCTCCTTAGAAGGGAGGTTTTGGCCTACTATACCTCGCTGGCTAGACGGGTTGGTATAGGGTTTGTTTCAAGTTTTTCTTCTCTTTGCAGTGCTGTTTTCCTGCTTAGTTTGCTCCCTTAGTCGGCTCTTACGACACCCACGGGATGAATTGGGGTGGTGACAATTTGTATTCTTAATCCGTCACCACACTAAACTAAACTATACATTAAACTATCCTAAAAATAAAACTAATGAGTAAATCCGATGACTCTTATGTTCATTTAAATAAACTATTTCAGGTGAATCAAACCAGTTGGAACTTGACGGCCCCCTGTTTGTCGGAGGTCTGGGATCCGAATATTCAGCATCGAGAACACCACCTGCGTTATGGACAGCAGCTTTAAGACAAGGGTTCGTGGGCTGCATAAGGGACTTAGTGTTAAACGGAAAACCTCAGGATTTGACTGCATTCGCGAGGCAACAAGATTCTGGTCAGTGATTCTTAAGTTATTATTTTTCAATTATTCAAAAAATATATGATTGTAAGATGCACCTGAAAATTTGTTTAAATTTGTATTTTGACAATTACATGAGTTACACACAAGAAAAAAATCTGAAATCTGGATGAATAATTTTAGTAAAATATTTTCAGAGCTGATTTTTCAGTCAACTGTTGTTGGAATACAAAGCCTTTTAAAAGTATTTTTCTAGAAATATTTTTTATTATTTCAGCTTCAGTTCGTCCAGCATGCCATGTACTGATGAAACAATGCGTTAGTTCCCCGTGTCAACATGGCTCACCTTGTTCTGAAGGTTGGAATAGACCTCTCTGTGATTGCTCAATGACGAACTATGGTGGACCTACTTGTGGCAGAGGTAAATATTTTTCAAATAAAATAATTATTTTTTTATGGAAGAGAGGAAAGAAGAGCAGACGGGTCACCTGATGGAAATTTACCACTTGCGCCCATTAACGCCTGCAAGAAGTCATAAACACGTTGCCGGCCCTTTTAGGAAGGAGTACGCTTTTTCTTGAAAGTTATTTATAAAAAAAAGAAAAATAAATAAGTAAATTTATCAATTTATTATAATTGAAAGAAAACAGTTTTCGTAACTGCTTTTGTTTATTAGAGAGAGAGGATAAATTAGTGCAGCAGGTGCTTTGTGAATTATGAAATCTTGTGTAGGGTAGTTTTAAATTCAAGTGAGTCTGGCTCAATGAATTTAAGTTAAAATTTTGACCATTATGCCCTCAAATATTTATTTAATTTAAATTAAGCCTGATTATGAACTTTCTAGTAATTGATACAAAAGTCAAAAACATTAAGTGAATGTAATTGAATAACGGTTAGTAACGTAACAAAAGTGATGTAACTCAAAACTATTACTGTATTTCCAGAATCTCCAACTATCTACATGAACGGCAGCCAACATTTAACAGCAGCACTGGGACCTGAACATATAACACAAACTGAAGAATTGCTGCTGCGGTTCCGTACAAACAGAGCTGGTCTTCTTCTTCGAACTGCGTCCGAGCATTCAGCTGATAGGATAGAGTTAGCTGTTGCTGCAGGAAGAGTCAGAGCAAGTGTTAGACTAGGAGATCGAGAGAAGGTATCGTATAAAATAAATATCAGATTTGTGATAGAATAATATATTAGCTTTTAAGAGGTTGAACGCACGTTTAATTACAATTTTGTATCACATAGAGTGAACGAAGGTAGACATCGTTTTATTTACAATAAACAATTTAATGTGCGATTCAAAAATCAAAAGCTAGTTTAAGTACTTGTAATAAAATGAACAGACTAGTAACATTCTTTTATCCCTTATTCGTAGAAAAATTTAATTTATAACGTACGCTGACCTAACATCTGACTAATAGCTGCTATTGTGCGTGTTATATGTCTAAGAGTTTTTTTACTCAATCGTGCGTTAATTCGTTAAGATATTCTTATAATTCTTCGTTCTAGAAATTTTATTAACTGTCTTCAGAACCTATTGGCCGGTTCGAATGTGGCTGATGACACGTGGCACACAGTCCGTTTCTCTCGCCGGGCTTCAAACCTCAAACTGCAAGTAGATAACGCGCAGCCCGTCCGCGGTACGTTATGTACGTATGCACGGGGCACCACCCGCACTACTTTTGTTTTCACCCCCCAATGTAGACGACGATAAAGGTTGGTTTTGGTTTGGCTGCTGTGTTATTGTGAAGATCTAATATATACTACCATACTTCACATTTCTTTACACAACATATTGAGACTGTAATTTAATCAGTCTCTTGAAATTGGTGTCTCTGGAATTTTGTGTCGAATTAAATTTTTATGCATTAACATTTTCAACACTATATTTAATGTTATTAGCTTTATAATAGCTTTTAACACAGTTTTATGAACAACGAATATATTTTAGTACCTGCATTATTCATAGTTTAACGTAACACCTAATAATCTTAAAAAAATCTAACCTGACTTATAATGCTAAAAACAAATTGTTTGCCACTTTTAATATTATTTTAAAAGGACACCAAAAATCTCAAACCCTACAATATATACTAAATACAATATAACACACTATGAAATAAAAATGTATGAAATAAAAGACGAAGCAGTCAAACCAAATATAGAACTTAAGAAAGAAATTTGAATTAACTTGTTAAATCCCAAGCGAATTCAAATTTTGCACTTTTCTATTTCTTCAGAAGAGTGTTTAAATGTTAGACGTCCTATTAGATGTAGAATAGAGGCTTATTTTACGTTGTTTGATAGCTGGCACTGTGAATCACCCTTCTGTTGTACGCTATTGTTTCTTAATTCATTTATATTCATTTCTTCTTGTAGTGTCCTATGTGTAAGTGCTTAGATTTATGGAAGTTTGGACGCTGTTTGTTGCCAAAAACGAACGATTAATCTACTATGTAAATATGTATTTTATGTTATACGAGTAACATGTAAGGTTGGATTAATATTCGTTCTTTTAGGAGCAGCGTTTTACGTGTATCTATAAATCTTTATACGTTTTAAATTATAATTAATTTGAACTGTTGTTCTTAAAGTCAAGATATTCATATGACTATTTCCATGAGTATTTAGTAACTTATAAAACTGATATAAGGGACTATGTTGTTATATATGTGTGTTTGATATTGGAATGGTTATAAACACGTAGAAATGTTAGGAATGCTAAAAACTATTGCTAGTTTATTTGCCTCTAGATATAATCAAAGGTATGTCACTCAGAGAGGTTTCTTTACAGAGCTGTTGCTATGCATTATCTTCTAGCAGTTAATTGTATTTCTAAATCATAGTATTAATATCTATCTAAGCTTGACTATCACGTAAACTCTAAATGTAAATAACTTCAAATAATGGCTAAAAATAAAATCTATGAAAGTTTACTTTGCCTAATTATGTTTCGTTTACAGTCAATGTTGTGGTTAGGTGTATTTCATTAAATAAGATAAATACTAAAATATAAGTTCGTTTTACAGCTGAGACAATTTTAGGAAAAGCGTCTACACTAGAAATTTCAACATTGCATTTAGGAGGATTGTATCACCCCGAAGAAGAAATTCAGATGACATCAACTTTACCAAACTTTGTTGGATATCTACAGAAGTTTGTTTTCAATGGAATCAGGTATATTGATATGGCAAAAACTCTTGGCGTTGGCACTAATGAGGATAACAACAATATATACGATACATCAAATCTCATTTTTACTGGCAAATTCGTTAAACCCGATTCATTAAATGTCTACAAATCAGTGACCTTTAAATCCAAACATACGTATGTTGGGTTACCGTTATTGAAAGCGTATGGAAATACTTATTTAGACTTCTATTTCCGAACGACGGAAATGGACGGATTGCTATTTTATAACGGAGGAAAGAAACAAGATTTTATAGCCATAGAACTAGTGAATGGGCACATACATTGCGTGTTTAACCTTGGTGATGGAGTAGTAACGATGAAGGATAAATTAAAGAATTTTTTGAATGATAATCGTTGGCATACGGTGTCTGTTAGAAGGCCTACTCCCAAGATTCACACATTACAAGTAGATGAAGATCTTGAAATGCATACTACCAGTAAGTGACACATCCACAATCTAGCTGAAGCGCGGTTCCTTTTGGATTCCACTACAAGTTTTTACAATTACTTACAGGTTCTAATCTGATGTTGGAACTGGACAGTGTGCTATATGTAGGCGGAGTACCCAAAGATATGTACACGTCACTTCCAGTAGGAGTGTTATCTAGACAAGGATTCGAAGGCTGTATGTCCAGTTTGGACTTGTCTGGAGAGTCACCATCCTTGATGGAAGATGCAGTAGTTCCTAGTTCCTCCTTAGGTTCTGGATGCGAAGGTATTTCATTCTATTAATTTATAAAATAAAGTTTATGTGTGATCCTGGCGCTGTCAAATTTTTTGAAGTGAAACTTCTATGGTATCGTTGTGATTTGAAAATTCGATGAAACGAAAAAGCGACAATAAAAAGAGACAAAGATATTCTTATATATTTTTTTGTTTTTTATCCATATTTTAACAGTGTGAATATTTTGATCTTTTTATTAAATCAAATATTTTTTTCTGAAGTTTCACTTCTGCCGTGTGTGAATTGCACACACACACCCTTTTTTTTTACCACATTTTCACAACGCCATCTAGTCCCAAACTAAGCAGATCTTGTGCTATGGGTCCTAGAAAACAGATGTAAATACATTGATCCTTTTTTTTTCTACACACATATACATAGAAATTTCTCAAACCAAATCAAACATTAATTGTTAATGGACACAAATGTTTTTTTCAAACGGAAATCGCACCCTTTGGCAAAACAGTCTGTTACACAAACAACTACTCCAGCTGGCCGTTACGCCCACTAGCCTATGAGACGTCTTAAACAAACAATTTAATGTTTAAAATTGATTTTAGTTCATTTAGATTAGATTAGAGTAGCAAGCATATCACCTCAAATGGTAATCATCATCATCATCATCATCAACAGCCTTAAACAGTCCACTGCTGGACATAGGCCTCACCTTAGTAGAAATGGTAATAGATATATTATTAGTTTCTATATTTTTTTTGATGTCTGGAAACTTCCACATCTCGGCCCGTTACCTTACAGATGTTTACAGCAAGGTGGTATCCAGGACCCGAACTCTTCGTAGTGTTATTGCTCGGGTCCAAAGGTAGTCTTTAATTGAAATTACCGAAACTCAACAGATTTCGCCACTTGAATATTAGTCATACTACTAGAGTATTCTAAAGCATTCTTGGTACTAACTAATCTCATAGTCAATATATTTTCCAGGGCCTACAAAATGCACTCATAATGCATGTGCTAACAAAGGAGTGTGTGTACAGCAATGGAATACATATGTTTGCGATTGCGATTTGACATCGTTTACCGGACCTACATGTTATGATGGTATGTTTATGATAATTATTTCACTATTGCTATTTGTTTACAATTTGTCTCACCTGTTTGTAGTGAGAACTAAACTAATACTGAAGACTTATTTGTCGTTTGAGTTGTATCATATCATCTAAGAAAAATAACCAAATTCAGACTTATATAGAGTTCAAATTCCTTCAATAAGTTCAATAATTTTAGCTTACGTCTTTTTTGCTCTATTTTAGAATCTATAGCCTACGAATTCGGTCCTGGAAAAGGCACCATTGCGTACACATTTCCCGCTGATGCAGTTGCTGACACCGAGACAGATAAAGTGGCTCTAGGTTTTGTGACGAGTAAAGCTGATGCTGTACTACTCAGGATCGAATCTTCAAATACACAAGATTATATGCAAATGGAAATTGTAAGTATGAAAGAGTAGCTCTTAAACTAAAATAAATACAAATCACATACTCAGTGTTAATTTATTGTTTTTTTTAAACACACCTGGTTAAAAGTGTAAACAATTTATTTAAGATGTAAATTTCGATTAAAGTAATTAACAAACATTTTTCATATCGTCCAATCTAATTAACATCATGATCCAGTAAATTCATTTCTAAGTGTCGGTATCGTCTGATGCTGGTCAGCATTACAATTTGGGCCAAACGTAGGTTTATTTCAGAGCATACCCATCGGCTTCATCCCTTTTGAAACATTCTGTTTCTTATTATGTTATATATGTTCTATTGATATTTACACTTTTAAACCACTCCAAATCATAACTATTTCCAGATTCGTGGCAATCTCTTTATGGTATATAATGTTGGTGGCGGTGATCATCCATTGGGCGACGAGACAGCTAGAGTTGATGATGGAGCGTACCATGTAGCTAGATTTACAAGAAATGGGAGTAGATCTTCGCTGCAATTGGATAATTACGCAGTTATTATCAGACATCCTCAAGGTAAGCTCCAAATTAGAATAAGAGAAAAGAATATTGGTGTGCCAAAATTATACCTTCTATTTTTTTAAGAATTTTTTGATAACTTTTAATATGTATGTGAATACTCTTTTAAGTTGGAGGATTTAATTGCTCTTTCTAAGATCTAGATGGATATACAACATTCATAAAATTGGTATTCGTAATATCCAGCATCGTTTATGATACAGCCCGATATATTATGCTCTCGTCGTTAAACATTCACCTTTTCAAGCACACATTAATAAATATAGTCTTCTTGAACCTTAATTTTCTTTTAATTCATAAAACCCTATCACTACTTTCCAGGAGGCCAACAATCAACGATCTTCAACGGTATGTCGACGATCACAGTGGGCGGCGGGTCGGGCGGCGGGCGCACGTTCAGCGGCGTGGTGGCCGGGCTCGTTGTGGATGCCGTGCGCGTGCTCGACCTCGCTGCCGCCGGCGACCCTGCCATCTCCGTGAGGGGCGACGCCAGGAGGGCACACACTCCACTCGATAGGGATATAAACAGAATGCAGCAGGTATTTTGTTTAAATACTTGAAGCATTCTATTTTCTTGACTTCGTTTTGGACGTTGTGTCACGGGAACAAGTACCAAATACCAACCTAACTACAGGAGTAAAAATTAAAATAAAAAGGTTTTGGTAACACCTTCAAAATTTTTACAGATTTTTTTTTTATATAAAAGACAACTCCCGCATTAGGAAAATATCCTGTGTTGCGGGGGACTTTACAAACATACATGAAACGGACACAAAGAACGCCCAGACTCAGAACAACAATTTGTGGATCACACAAAGTGTCGTCCCATGTGGGGTTTGAACCCACAACACTCGGCGTAGTAGGAAGCGGCGTGGCGACTGCTTAAACCACTACGCCATCCGGGAAGTCAATTGCCCTGATTTTTTTTTTTTTTTTTTTTTTTCTTTATTTACGGAGCTTAGCCACAATGATGACTACGTCGCTCCATCATAGCCATTTTTTGTTTTAAAAATTAACTTAAATATTGAAAATACAAGGTATAAATATCATTAGCTGTATCCGTCAAAGGACTGGCCAGGATGCTGTTACATCTTCCAATGTCCATCAACTTATCATTAAGCAGGCGTTCTCTCAGTTGTTGGTTCCGAACACATTCCATCAAAACATGTTCTACGTCCTCTACCACACCACAGATTTCACAATTTGGCGTAGATGATAAGCCCATTAAAAATGTGAACTTTCTGGATGGGATGTGTCCAGAGCGTAACCTCATAGCCGTTATCAATTTATGTCTACTCAAAGAACAGTTATCAATCCAAGGGATAGCCAGCGGTTCAGGTTGTATAGTTTTATACCAGATACCATTTTCGGTTGATCTTTTATCGAAATATTCTTTCCAGGATTTAAAACAGTATTCTTTTACAAGATATAGGCAGTCTGAATAGTAAGGCAGTATTGAAATATATATACCTTCAGAACAAGCCTGCTTTGCAAGTGTGTCAACCATTTCGTTCCCAGTTATACCAATGTGAGATGGAATCCACTGAAGATGTACTGTTTTACCGCTCCGTTCTTACTCAACAATTTGATTCATAATTGTGTATGCTATCGGTGTTCCTCGAATTGTCGAGGTACACCGAGCTACATGTAGGAGGGCACTTTTAGCGTCAGTAAAAATAACGAACTTGTCATGGTCAATAGAATGAATGTAAGATAACGCTTCACTAATAGCTATTAGTTCAATACACATGATCGATATTTTTACCCTAATTCCATAGCGAGCGAATGTATTTTGCTGAGGATCGAAGAGGGCCGCCCCCGCACCACCTTTTTCTTTCGATCCATCGGTAAATATCTGGTAATAATTCGGAAACCGAGTATCCATATAATTAAAACACAAATCTCTTAAAACTGATGTCCCGTATTGCTGTTTAGGCTTGTTTATGTAATCTATATTATCTTTTAGATTTTTGGAAATATCTATATAGGCCATCCACACTCGGCTGTCAAACATCTCTAAATTTTGGCTACAATGAACTTGCACTTCTCTCAATTGTTCGTACATTATTATTAAAACAGGTTTATTTTTCCTACGCCATGCGATTAGATAGTTGGCTAAATCCTCTAAGTAGTTAATTATTTTACTCTTCGTTAATAAAGATTTGCATTTTAGTAAAAAATTACCGGCTAAGTAGCATCTACGTATATGTAACGGCTGTATCGCTAGTTCACTGCTCATTACATGGATAGGTGTCGTTTTGATAAACCCGCCGATAATTCGCATAGCCTGATTTTGAGTTTTTTCTAATTTGCATAAATGTGTTTCACTACTGTCACCGTATAAAAAGCTACCGTAGTCTAAACGACTCCTCAGGAGAGAAATATACATTTTTCTTAAATGTTTCGGGTGTATACCCCAACTTATCCCCGCCACAAACTTAAGGATGTTGAGAAATTTAGATACTTTTTCATTAATTTCTCTTATGTGTTTAGCCCATCTAAGAGATCGATCTAGCCACAAAACTAAATATTTTACACTATCTACTACTTGTATGCTTCTATTATTCAATTTTATAGAAATATTTTGTCTATTACAACCTTTTTTAAAGACGCATATTTTACTCTTAGAGGGCGAAATCTCTAGACCAAGCTCAGATAAACTGCCTACGATATTCTCCAACGAAGTTTGTAACTGTTCAGCGGCGTTAAATATGTTTTTATGTGTACAATAAATAACGAAATCATCTGCATATTGTAAGATGTGAACTGAATCGGTGTTATGTTGTTTGCAAATGTCTATAGTTGCCACATTAAACAGCAAGGGTGACAATGGGTCACCCTGTGCCAATCCTCTGCCGGTGCTGCGGGTCTCCGACATACCATTTATTACTAGTTTAAGATAACGTTCCCGAAGAAATTCAAAAAGGTAACTACATATTTTATGTCCCACCCCTAACATATCTAATTTATATAAAAGATTATTGATATTTATGTTGTTATATGCGTTATCTATATCAATGAAACATCCGATTGTTATACAATTTTTACAGAAACCTGTTTGAATTCTTGTTACTAAATGACTTAAGTTATCTAGACAAGACCTGCACTTTCTAAAACCTAACGTGTCGTTAGAAAACATACAATTTTTTTCTAAATACCACTCTAGTCGTTTCTGTATAATTGCATGAAAAATTTTGCACAAACATGATATAAGCGAAATCGGTCTCAGTGCCGGTGAGGAGTGGGTGTCCCTCCCAGGTTTAGGGATAGGTATAATACTAATATCTCGCCATTGAGTAGGAACTGAACCCGTCGAAAGAAAAGAGTTATACAGTTTTACTAGAACTAATTTAGCGTTTAGAGATAAATTTTTAATCATACTGTAAGAAATGTTGTCGAACCCAGGTGCAGTGTCTTTTGTTTTAATACTTTGATTTAATTTCTGCAACGTGATTTCAATATCTAGAGCCGAATTTTGTGAAGAGAATATAGGTTTACATCGGGGTACATCGTCAGGGGTTAGGCTATATAGAAGAAGGCTGTCTGTATCTGGGTCAATGTGTTTTTTTTGTGTTTGGTAACCTTTAATCCACCTAATTTTATTCCATAGTCCGCTCACTGAGGTTGTTTCGTCTATAGAACTACAAAATTGATGCCAAGACTGTCTTTGGGTCTGTCTAAGCATCCTCCGTGACACACTTATTTTCCTTTTTAGTGCAATTAAATTTACTGGGGTGGGGTTACGTCGAAAGTTAGCTAGTGCTAGTCGCCTCTCTGCCACTGACTTGGATAGTTCGGGGTTCCAATATGGTTTAGGCCGAAAATTACTTGTAGGGTTAGTACTAAATTTTATATTAGGGATGCACTTCTCGGCGGCATCGTATAAAATATTTAAGAACGAATTATAAGCTACTTGAGGATTATAAAGAGTGGAGGTATCATAAGTATTAAATTTTTCATCAAGGTAACTCTCATAGACTGTCCAGTTAGCCCTTTTGAAATTTCTTCTTTTTTGATACTGCTCATTTGAGTAAAATGAAGTAGATATTTTAATAATCATGTGATCGCTTCACAACGTTTCATTTGATACCATCTTATCAAAACCCAAAGAGATATCAGAGGACGCTATAGATAAGTCAGGAGAAGATTTTCTATATACATTGTTTACAAGTTGAAAACGTGTAGGGCTACCATCATTTATTATCATATAATTATAGTCTAATATTGAATCTAAGATTTGGTTTCCCCTCGTATCTGTTTTGTAAGACCAGTTTGAATGGTGTCCATTAAAATCGCCCAATATAAGCGACTTTCTGTTTGCCATAGAAAACAAATAGTCCCATGTCTGAGAATTTGTCGACGATTCCGGAGCACAGTAGATGGCAATTAAATGTTCTAATTGATTGCAATTAAATAATTTTATATGAATTAATTCTAAAGCAGAATTAGTTCTATGTATTTCAACCCGTTGTGTTTGAATTGATTTATGCACTATAATTGCCACACCACCATTTCCATCCCTATCCAGACGAAAAATATAGTAATTATTGATATTTACATGAGTATCTGGTGCAAGCCATGTTTCACTTACCACCGCAATATGGATGTGTTCTTGGATTAATAACTGTTCGAATGACTTTAGTTTGGGCTTAATACTTCGGGCATTCCATTGTATTATGTTCAATCTAATTAATGTATTGGAAGCGTTATCCATTAACTGACGTAAATATATTTTTTAAAACAGACATATCGGGTATTAAATTACTTAGAAATATGTTAAGCCAATCTACAACCACTTTTAACCCATCCTTAAATTGTGTTTGAATCTGATTTTTTATGTTATGTATCATCTCTTTAATGTTATCCCACACACGCCGGAGTGGCGATATTTCGCGAGATTTTTTCCTTGTATGAGGTTGTGTAGTTTGAGAATCTTGAGGGTCAGCTGAATCTTCGGGGTTAGAGTCAGTGACAAACATATCCACTATAACATTATCGGACAGGTGGACCGGAACTTTTGTTTTCTTTTTTTTGTGAGTCTTTTTTGTGATAGTTGTCTTTGGTCGCCCGTTGATCTCAGCTAATTCGAATTGTTCGGTGTCAATACTCGGTGCACTGGTGTTAGATGATCCTTGAGAGGCAAGGCCATTGTTGCTATTAATTAAAAACTTGTTTGCTTCGGCTGTACGACGCGGAGAAGGCGGAATAAAAGTCACGGCTTTTTGATAAGTACACTTCAGCTGTGACATAATCTCACGAATCCGTCTTTCCCTTGCGTAAACTGGACAATCCCTTGATAGTGAAATATGATTAGCAGAGCAGTTGACACACTTATAAATAGGTATATCACAGTTTGCGTGATCATTTTTGCCACATTTCGGGCAGAGAGGCTTGTTAGAGGGGCACATCTTCGATGTATGACCGAACCTCCAGCATCGTGAGCATTGTGTCACAGGGAACACAAACGGAGAGACAGCAATTCGTAGGTCCATTAAATAAATATGACTTGGTAAAGAATTACCCTTAAAACCAATTCTCACGGTTTCACTCGGAGTCCATCCTTCCTCCGTTCTCCTATTCATCCGCTTAGCGGTCACAAGGTCTTTATCAGCCCGAATACATTTTAGGAGCTCCGCCTCTGATAGTTCCACATCTATATCTTTGATGATTCCATAGCATAAGTCAACTTCCCAAGTTTTTTGTCGGCGCCAACCAAGTTCACTTAAGGCGGTACAAGATAAAAACTTCTCGGCGTTAATTTCCTTATCAAAAGTGAATGATACCTTATAAGGGTTAACATATTTAACTCTTGTGACTCCAGTTATTTTATTTTCGTTTAGTAATTTTGCCATAGCGAATTGCTTAGGTAGTTTTTCTTTAGAATATACGCATATCTGCCACATATTTTCTACCGATTGCGTGGTGGAAAGATCTATAGATTTTCTTTTCTTCGCAACCGTCTGCCAACCTTTTTCACCATTCTCGATTCTTAACCGCTTATTTGTTAGTTCTTCATTTGTCTCCATGTTCTCCTCTAAACAATATGTATGGTCAGTCTCACCACGCTGGTCAACTATGGAATTTTCATCGCAGTCATTGTAAACACGTCCGCTAGCCATTCAGAATATGGTTCATATTAACTTCACACCACAGACGGCCGGGCGCCGATCGCGCTGCGCCGAGCGCTAAAGAAACCGGTTAGTTGTTTACTATATTTGTTAACCACTAAGAACGCGTTCTAATCGCACGAGGTGTGAATTAGCACTGTGAATTGCCCTGATTCTGTGTATTTATATAGTTTTGGAATTGTTATAAGATTTGAGAAATTTTGTTTGAAAATTTGAGATTTAATATTAACAAACTGTTACAGACACCACCCTCGGGTTACGGAGGCCCCGGTGTGCTAGACGAACTGGTTTATTCAGGAGCAGGGTCGGGCTGTAGAGATGATGATGAAGATGCATGTGTATTGCCTGACGCAGGATCTGGCGATGATCTCATTACACCAGTTTACGTCCCATCTACGAGACGGCCACCGTCAAGACTACACAAGGTATATTTAAAGGTTTCTTTCTAATAACACGCATTTAGCATAACAGATCTCATGAAAAATTTAATTCATCAAAATAACATGCAAGAAATAAACAGAATAATTTATAACTCATAGTGAACTATAAATTACTCTAATATTACTTACCCTAATAAGTAGAATAGAGTAATCATCAACATAACAAATATAAACTCAATATGAAAGTGGGGAAATGGAGGATAAACTTTCCACGTATCTTGATTTAAAAGATTTAATAAATTACATAATTGAATTTTATTATCGTTAAAAACTTAACAAATGCACGAAGTTGACCTTGATAATATTTTATTCTTCAGGGTGACACTAGTGGAAAGCTCATGAAACCATGTGACGATGAGGACTGCATAGAAGGATCTGGATCTAATGTTGATGAAATTACAGAGCCTGAACATCCAATGACAACGTTAGTATATCCTATATTATCTAAATACATATTCCAGCAAGGAATGATCTGTTCATATTGATGTAAATGGTAAAATCTTCATAAATTTCAGATCTGGAGCAAGCAGTACCCACAGTATGACTTCTCCAACTGTTATAATTGTGTCCACTGAACACATAGATAAGAGCCTAGAAGGTTCTACAGATGGCTCTACCGGGCCTAGCGAGACAACCAAAAGCAGTACCGATATTCAAACATTTCCTGACCACGATAACATGCATGCAGGAACTGTGGATACTGCCACTTCTCCCGAACGGAGGACTACTCCTACAGATGGTAAGCAAAGGGTTAAATAAGCGATTCTTGAGAAACTGTGGACCTTCCACCTTGGACCTTCCTGTCGACCTAATAACGTATGATGAATGAACTTCAATCGTCTTGTTTTATTTAATTGACTAATATGACATAATATATACAGCCACTGTATAGAATTTTGTACCATAACAGGTCAGAGGTTGTATATTTATCTATAGTTTTAAATGGCTATTTTTGCATACATTTTAACTTTATAGCATAATAATATGTTGTTTAAAATCTTCAGTGTTCTATTTATAAATATGATTGCTTTTGTGTGCCATATTTTTTAAAAAAAAGCACAAAAGTTTTCTTCATGTACAATATTAGTATAGATATACATACACGCTATGGGAATATCTTATTAGAGAATAGAGGATATCTTCAATATTATGAAAAAAAAAAAATTAAATTCTATATTCCCAGATCATTCTCATACCCGTTCAAGTTATCATTTTACACCAACACTGACTGGTAAACATGTGCCAGACGAAGCAACACATACAACCGAAGAGGACACAAATCATATGCCTGAGTACGACGATCGGCATGAAAATGAGATAGAAACACGCACGCCCACATATGAGACCGAGAGTGAGCAGGACAGAATACCTGGAAGAGTACATCCGGAGTATAATGGTTATGATGTCACGCCGAAATGGTATCACCCGAAAACTACTGACAATAGGGTAGTACCACCTGAGTCTGAGTTCTTTGCTACTATTGTAGGTGAGTGGGTCTTCTTAATATAATCTTGAATGTATCAAAAATTGTAATTAAACGTATGTGTATTTGGATGAAAATACGGTAATTTGGCATCTGAGCTGATTTGATAAAAGAGTCTCATACAATTTGTTTTAACGAGTAGAATAGAGCGTAGTAATGACAGTCGAATAATTTAATCAAATGGTAGATAGTGATTTTTTGTTCTCTCTGATTCTGTTCATTCAGCCGATAAAACGTATTTTCCGTTTTATTAAATGACAATCTTTAATGTAAGATTTTGAGTAGACTAGTATCAAATCAGAAAGAAATGGAATTGAGAAGCAGATTCCATTCTCTAATCAAATTGTTTTTTGGAACGAAGTTCCTTATCGCGCGTTGTGAAAGGGGGCTAGACGAAAAAAAATCTCACGAAAAGTTGTAACGACACTTTTTATTTTGAATTGTCACTTGTCAGTCATTCAGCGCCATCTATCGAATAGATTGGAAATCATTATTTTTCATCTCAGTAAAATTAAAATTTATGTTCTTAGGTTAAGCAAAAAATATTGTATTCGACATCATTTCTCAAGGAGATTTTACCAATGTACAAATTGTTTTAATTAGAAACCAACTGAAAAATATGTAGGTAATAGCCGCTTTCATAGATGGCGTTGTAATTAAAATCATGTCGAATCAGTTTTACTCGATCGTCACAACTTCGTTCCTATCGGGTGTAAGACACCACACGGCTTTTTTTTCTACCATTTAAATATATACAGTATAAAAATAAGAGTCGATTGCTGCTCAATACAAATATATTCTTTTTCCATTGATCTTAAAATTCTAGGGGACTTTCTTCATAGGTTATCATCGATCCCCTGCCATAAACTAGCAATATGCAAGAAAATATCCAACTAACGGAACACCCATAGACAGACATACAATTTCACCATGATCCCCAATAAAGTTATGACATCGAAGGACCCGTAGGGGTTCCATAAAATGAAAAAAGTTCTAAAATCCGTAACACAAGTCTTAGAGTCTTAGTGTTATATAATAATATCCTAAAATATTCTATTGTGTCTGCAGGTATAGTGGCGTCGGTGCTGATAGCCATCATATTGATAGTGATCATAGTGCTCAAGTACATTGTGTTCAAGTTCGATCCCTCGTACAAGGTGACAGATGACAAAAACTATCAACAAGGAGCCAGTGCCGCGTTGTTGGGCAACCAGGTAGGGATTACATTTTCTTATGTCATAGTTTTCATACTGTTCTAAGCCCCAAAGCCCGTTGTATTATAAGTTTAACATGTATGTAAATACACGTGTTAAATTTATAATACAACGGATCAAATTATTGTATAAGTCAAAATGTGAAAATAGCACAATTTTAATTTATTTTTTTGTCTAAAAGTTTACTTGACCGAGACTGGTCTTATCTATAATTCAAGATAATTTTGTCGTTCGAAGATTGCCTAGTTGTTGATGAATTTTTTTAGTCGGTGGTATTTTCATTCTTAATTTAATTAATTCTTTTTTTTATTCACACATATATGTATGTCTAATTAGATGTCTTAAAAGTTTACTCAACTCAAAATATCTTTATTTCATAAAGAAATTTAAATTATTTGAAATCGTCTCTCGTGTAGACTAGTCATAGATGAACACACACACAATAGCAACAATCTCTGGTTGGTTTGCATTTACTACTCGTAAGTGTATCAGGATCCAGTGACTACTCTCTCCAGTCTCTCTCAGTGACTTACTCTATCCAGTTTTAAAAATAAAAATGGGTAGAGATGGACACAGGGTGACTCAGTCGGTACCCAGGTAACCTCATTGAAATATCAGACTATTCAAAGATATGTAAACGAATAATAGTGCTAGTTCCGTTATAAATACCCTATTAGGGAGATACTGTCGAAAATCAATAGGTAAGATATATATTTTTTTTGTAGAAATTATTAGTATTCTCTGTTGAGTATGTCCTTTATGCACTTTGATAGACACACTACCGAAGGCCTGGAATATGTATGTAATCGTATGTGATACAGTACAGTTTGAAGGTACTATTTATTTTTAGTTCTCCTTATTTCTTGAATTCTGTAATTTCGTGTTTTATTAAATCGATGTCGTATTTGTAGCAGGCCCACTCGAGCTACCAGAGCGCAGGCGGCGGCCCGTCCCGCGGCCTGGCTCCCCTGGCGCTGCCGCTGGCGCGCAGCACCGCCGCGCCCTCCGCGCCGCTCGCGCCGCTGCCCACGCAGCCCACCAAGCGCGACGGCATCAAGGAGTGGTACGTCTAAGCACACGCTCCGCCACTCGACTTCGAGTCGTTCATCGAACGGTTCTACTACGAGAAAACCGTCAAAACTGTCACCGTGGAGTCATCTACTACTGCCGGAAGAACCGTCGGTGTAAACCGACTCTGATTTTGTGTCGGACGAGACATAGTGAGTGAGTAGACGCTTGGGAAACCTCGCCGAATCGCCGTAACGCTTTAAGAGAATGACACGATCGACTGACGCGAGTGTATTAAGTATTGTACATATTAAGATAATGTTTATAGATGGCCACTTGTGCGATTGTTGAGACTTCTATCTGGTAAACTGTAAAAAGACACAAAAGCAAATTTTACGAAAGACTTGAACGTTTTACCTTTCTAAATCTGACTACACCCTTTATTGGATCATCTAAAATTGCTTTTAGAAGCACTGTTTTTGCAGTCTACTACTGAGAACGTCAAAGACCTGTTAGAACAATACCTAGTGAATACGGAATTGCATTTTACTATTGTATAGTATTTGATTTATCGTTTTGTTACCGATGTTTTACTGTTAAACCTTAGCTTCCTGACCTGTACATTGCTATATTTCATGTACTTGCGACTAAATTTTCTATCTACATTGCCTTTAATAGTTTAAATTAAACTAAGACTAATGTATATTGGTTGTAGATGTTGGTGGTTTGTCAAAATTTGGCTGTACTATTTGTTATTTTTAATATGTGTAATTTATGTAAACTATCTATGACATTAGAAATATTCAATTATTATAGTATGCTTTCTGTGGTTTGAAATAATTTGAGTTTTATAAAGTCCTATTTTGACGAAACCCAACAAAATTTGTTATAATCTACTTCTATGTATAATAAATAAGATGAAAAATGCTATATTTGGAGCTGCCATCACGAAATTGAAGCATATCGTTCAATCGAAGACTACAGAAATTTTACAATTCTCAATAATCTTTCCTATATATATTAGATGTTATACAATATTTTTAAAAATAGGCGGGGTGAGGTGCGTAGCATAGAAAGTGGAATCATAATCATCAGAGTATAAGACCTAAATTCGCTTGGACTTAGATATGAAAACAGGTATATTAATGTAGGTCGCGTAACAAGTATGAGCTTGTAGATTTGGTATGGAATATTGATGTTTTGAGTCGTAACATATCCTTATAGCAATCTGTATTACTATTGGGACAACTTTTACTTACTGCCGATGTGCCATCAGAAACTTACGTCACTTGATTTGTATAAACATCTTATAAAAGTATGTCGCTGGAAAATTTGAAAGGTTCCTAAAGATCTCCAAGAACTATGTTAAAGTAACGGCAATGGCATAATAAGAGATAGGGCTAAATATGCAGTTGTTTATACAAGTTTTGTACTATTTCATATTGATTTAACGCCTTATTTACCATAAAACTTCTTTATTTATCAAGAACTTTAACTAGAGTCCTTAATCCTTAATAACAATTTTTTACGAGAGTTTGCCTTATGGTTTACAACTAATAAAGATATACATTTCAAAAGGAGAAATGTATAAAATAGGCGTTTGAAGAATATATAAAAAGGTTCGATGTAACTAAACTGGATAGTTTAGTTACATCGAACCTTTTTATATATTCTTCTTATGGGGCAAAATTTATAAATTGATCGCAATATAAATCTTTAATTTTCTAGTTTTGGAATGTGATAGTCAATCGCAAAGTGAATGTTGTATAAAGAAAGTAATAGGAACAGGCTCTTCTTAATAAAAAAAGACATTGGAGTGCCACAAGGTTCAAATATGGGCCCGCTTCTAAATCACCCAAAAGTTATTTATTACCACCATATTTTGAAGTTAGGCAGCTGTAAAAGTTAACTATTAGTTATAAAACACAGAAAAATCCTAATTGGAAATATCTTTCAGTCCCTTTTAGCTACTTACATTGAGTCAGACAACTTTCTAATTAACTTCCCATGCGCAATTTCCTCTCAAATAATAATTTATAGAAATGCAGCTAATATTTTTACATCTAGTATGTACTTGTACATCCACCGTCCCGGTTTCCTCTTTCCGATTAATAAAAAAACTTGAATTAGCTTTAAAATAAGACAAAAGTAACATATTTATATAGATTGTTATAAAGCACAGGTTTTAGGTATCCGAAGTTGCATTTAATGTATTGTTTGAGTATACAGGATGGTAATGAGCTATTGAAAAAGCCATGAGTTCATTTCTTTGTCTATTTCCCTTTCTTTAGTAACGTTAGGTTTCTTGAAGTTATTAAATGTGTTTTTTTTTTAAATCAAACTGTAAACTAACTCTTTTCAAATCTGTCATTTCATGTCAATTATTTCCGTCTTATACGCTCAAACATAGCATTTACTGTAAATAGTTATTCAATATAATACTATAAACATAAGCGATACTGTACGGTGTATGTCACACTCGTTTTACGGCACAAAATGTTAGTAAAACCAATTTGTTTAATTGTCAATTTTAGTCGTAATGTTTAGTGAGTTAATCATTTATACCTTGATGTAATAATATGGTAACAATTTGATTGTAAGATTTTATGTGGACGCAGTAAAAATGTGAGGGGCAAAAGTAACACTTCTGTTTATCCTTTGTTCGGGGCTCAAACGGGGTGATACCACGTGATGCCATGGTACAGAAAACCGGTGTTAGCAATTATTTGGATACTTTTAAACTAGGGAGTGAGATTACCGACAACTAAACTCCCCCCTCCCCTCCTCCCAATTACGGTGGGAGGGGGGGAATGCACTCAAAGGGTGACAACACACTTGTATCTCTTGAGATGCAGGTGTCTATAGGCGGCGCTTTTTACTTATCATCAGGTGACCCGTCTGCTTCAATAAACAAAAGAACAAGAAATTAATTTCAAAGATGATAGTATGGCTGAAAGACGAAAGCCATTTTAGCAATACTTTCATCTTTAAATTACTTTTAGATGTTGAAAGATGCGTCATAGAACATTATCTGCGTCCATAGAAAATGTAACGTGAAAATATATTTTTTTGTTACACCATGTTTAACTGATGTTGTTACACATGATTCCGGTCGGACCAATTTTAGTTTCAATGTAAAAGTGACAGTTTTTAAAAATAATTATATATATTATGTAAATTACATGCGTATTCTTATTTCATTCAAGTACAAACCTATTTCACTGCAGAATTTATTTCGACGTACTGGTTTACAACAATTTTGTGGTCAAATTTCATTTTTCATTTTTTTAAATCTGACCGATCGAAGTTGAATATGGAATGAAATCAATTAAATAAATACCCACAACGATTGTACATTACTTTCAGTCAGTGTTTTAAGAAATATGTGACCATGAGAGATGGCGTCCTCTAAGCCTACACTTTAGCATCATTTTTACACACATGGTTCCCATTCCCTTGGGTTTCTACGAAATAGTTGAGTTTGTTTTCACTAGATGGCGCTGAATATAATTATTTTAAGTCGGATACAACCTAAAATATAGTATCTATTAGGCATTCATAAAATATTTAAGAAATACCGTACAGAACATATTAAATTGCTTTAAATGAATGTTATCTTTTAGTACCGTGTATATTTAATCCAAGTTTTTGACATGCAGGATATTTTTTTTTCGCCTGGAAATCGCCATTGAAGAAGTATGTTGAAATCGTACCAAACAAAACCGTTATACCGAAATTGGTCTATTGCAAGGTTAAAGGAGAAACTCTAGAAAAAATGACAATATATTAGGAACTCAGCCCCCCCACGCTCTACAATTTCAAGTCTGCTTCAGTAAGCCAGACAGCCTCACAAGGCAAAAAAGATCTTTACGGCCAGAGTACAGTGCGTATGCAGCATACTGCCTATACATACAACGAGTAAGAGAGCAAATGTGGGCAGTTAATCATCCTGACGCGGCAGGTTTATTAAGCCTTCAGAAAACCTTGACACCGACTGCAATGGCCAATATGGAGATCATTGAATCTCTTACGTACGTGGGTTGGTCGTTGCAAGAGCAACATGGCAAATGGGGGCTACATTGATCAGTCGCAAACGCGCTGTGAATGTGGCTCTCCAATACAAACCGTACCACATTTGCTAGGTCCTCTGCCCTTACTATGTATACCACTTTTATTTCTTCGGCAGCAATTGCTTACTGTTATTTTGTGAGCAGTGATTGCAGTAAAAGTAAATAATGATTAAGACAATATTATTATAATCAAGGCTCGCAAAAATGATCAAATGTTCATTTCTGCCAATATTGGCGCAACCATTTGCTTAACGACTACGTGGATGTTTATTCGAATCCTGGCCAACCCACTTGACTCTTCATACAATAATAATAATGAAATATTATCAGCTTCTAGCCAGCGCATATTGTCTGGGACTTTTGATTGCACAAATTTGCTCAGTAAAGTAGCATTAGCATTAAAAGCTTCTAGCATTCAAAACTACTACAAATATACTACAGGGTCTTGAAAAAACCACGCTTGTTCACAGAGGCGGTGAGAAGGCTTCAATTTTAGTTAAGTTGTCAATATGGTAATCGCTGCATTAATATATAAGATAAAAAAAGTATATTTATAAATCACTACGTGAAAACTAGAGGAGAGGAGAGGGACTCCGACGGACGGAGGGGTAAAATAAAAAAAATGGCTCACTTAGTAACGTACGTTCCCTAAAGATTACTTAATAGATACTACATGACTGCACGGATGGCATAGTGGATTAAACCTTCCCCACGCCACTTACTACTACGCTGAGTGTTGTGGGGTCCGATCCCCACATGGGACGACGATTTATGTGATCCAAAAATTGTTGTTCTGAGTCTAGGTGTTCTTTGTGTCCTTTTCATATATGACACAGGATATATTCCTAATGCTGGAGTTGTCTTTTCAACAAATTATAATTATAACAAATTATATTTGTCATATTAATAGACATATACATAGAGTTAAATTTTGATAGCGAAACTACTAAGGGGAATTTGTACATGAAATTATTGTACATAAACTATAAATCCTA